CCATCGATTTTTAGAATATTTTCTATACTTTTCTCTACAAGATGTTCGCCAAAACGACCTGTTCGATAACGTAAGCCTAAGCCAAACGAAGCCTAAGCCTAAGCCCAAGCCTATGAAATTAAGCCTAAGCCTAGGCCGATGGGACCACAACTCTCCACCAGGCCTGAGTAAGAAGCCTAGTTCGAGTTTCTAGCGTTGTTTGAGACCCGAGAGGGGTTTGCATTACTGTAGTGATTAGAGCCATTTTCATCATGTGGTTTATCATTTTTTTTCACTTTGAAAGACTTGTTGCTACCTTGTTGCTGGCTTAAATTCACACTTTCTTGCCTTCATTTTTTAAAAAATCTGCCTTTTTACGAAAGATGTAGCGCAATGGTTAGAAATGGCTTGACGTAGTGTCGTATTTTGATCACACTCTTTTAAGAAAACCAAGCTTTCAGTTCTTTAACGCTTGAAAATCGGTATTAAACTATTCGTAAGAGCTGAAACGTGAGCTTTATGCGTCGACAAGTGAGCGCAAGTTGTTGTATAGGTTAAACATGCGTCGAGTCATTTTTACGGTACTCAACGGTGTTAAGTACCTTGTTTTTCCTTAAGGCGATTATCAACGGTGAACCCTTTATTCCCTATTCCTCAAGCCAAGAAAATGATTCGTGTTCCAGAAGGGCAATATGGAAGTGGCGCAAGTCCATGCTGAAAATGCGATACGGAAGAAGAACGAGGCAGTGAACTACATTCGAATGGCAGCTCGTATCGATGCAGTTGCCGCTCGTGTTCAAACTGCAGCCACACAGGTAGTCACTAGACTTTTTTCCCTCAGATTTTATGGACTACGATACTCCTTCCTATGTGTTGGTGCGCTAGCATTGTGTTAAAATCCCAGTTAAGTGCAGTAGTCCGAAGTCTTTTGGTCTCCGAGTAAAAGTTGAAATAACCAATTATGTTAGGCGTTCTCATAACTTTTGGCACTAGAGCATAAACACCAAATTCTTTAATCAGAAGTAATTGAAATTGTTTAACAGTAGTATTCTTTGCGCATTTTTTGCCAACATTTTGGTGTACAACTCGCCTATACTTGCTTTTTGATGAAGCTACCTTGTACACAGATTCGTTTGCTACTCATGCACGTATGACGCACAGGGGGAAAATGTTAGTGAAGCGGTACGCAAGATCAATAGAGCTTGGGGAGATGATGCGGGTTGCAGAAAGGACGGCAAGGAAGTGGTTCACGAGGTCTAAAGCTGAACAGAACAGTTTGGAGGATCAGTCGGACTCGGGCCGTCCACAGGAAGCTTCATTAATTTTGCGCACCGCTTCACTAGCTTTTTCCTCTACGCGCCATTCGTGCATGAGTAGTAGGCGAATCTGTGCACAAGGCAGCCTCATCTTGAAGCAAGTATAGGCAAGTTGTATATCAAAATGTTTTCAAGAAAAGGCGGAATTGAATAGTATTGATAAGCAGATGTAGTTGTAATCATTTCTGGTTAATAAAGTTGGTGTTTTTTGCTCTGGTGCCAAAAGTTATGGAAGACCTTATATACCAAGGATACCGATGACATGCAAAACTTACGCTCTCAGGCGGGAATTGAACCCAGTTTCATTCACAAATGCATTGAATTATCGACAGAACTGTATTGCTAGCATCATGGCGAAGTAATTATTACAGATTTCTTCTAAAAAAGATACCTTATTTAACTTCCACATGATCATTCAGCTCTTTGTTTTAATATAACCTTATATGAGATTGTTGCATAGCGCTTTGTGACTATTCGTGCTATGTTTTCACAATAACGTTGAGTGATATGCAAACCTTTGTACCTCGAGTCAGAGTTGAGCCCTCGTCTCACCTTTTCCGGACCGTCAGTTCAACTCTCACCAGAGTTTCAAAGTTTTACATGTCACTCAACAACATTGGATATACAGTTATGACATTATATTGCTGTTGAAAAGGCGGTTGAATAAGAAATTCTTGTCGATTACGTACTCATGACAGGCTTGGTTTCATCCATTTCAACTCATTGCTTCTGCGAAGACTCAGATATTTCACGGAAACTGCTGTGTTGTTCAATTTTCTATTGAAATGGGGTTGACAGACCGAACCCGTTGAGGGTGCTAGTGACAGCTGCGATAGTTTATATTGAAGAAAGAGTAGTCGCAAACCGGTGCCCTTGGTGTTGTGGAGGTAGCACGCGCCCCCGGTTAGGGTGAAACATGGGCTGAACTCCCACCAGAAGTCGGGTTTTTGCGCACCACTCAATCTTCTTAGATGAAGTTTTTCGACATCATAGCGCTGCTAAAGGCAGTTTAACTTGAAAAATATAGGATATACGTGTAGGAAAAGCTGTCAGCTCAAGTGGGTTTAATGCCAAAATAAGCTTACCTGGCAAAACTATAGGATGGATGCTGACAGTTCGATAGCTCATTCGAAGATAGGCGGCCGCAGGTGTAGTGGTAGCACACGTCCCGGTAAGGGTGAAACGCGGGATCAGCTCTCAGCTGAGGCCGGATTTTTGCGTACCACACAAACTTTGTGGTTAAATTGCGTGTTGTTTTGAGGACAGTAGCATCGCCATAGTATCAGCCCCTTCTTAGTGTATATGCTTTGAGTAAATTTATCGGTAAAGAAGTCAAGGATTTCCTAGTTCGCCTGGCTTCTTATCTTTTCCCTTTTCAACTTGCGTATTCCATGAGTTTGATGGGAAAGCTGTTGATTTATTTTCTCTAACGAAAACTTTTCATTTGTGGTGTCCTTTATTTTTCTCATATAGCTTTCAGCTGTGTTTTTCAGAAGCGGGTGACAAGCAGTATGACTGGAGTTGTCAAGGCTATGGAGAGCGCTATGAAGACGATGAATCTTGAAAAAGTTAGTATCTTGCTTTCCAGTATTTGGATAACTTTTCATCCATCGACGAAGTCACTACTACTTAACTTTTGGCTTTTTTTCCAAATCGTATGTTCAATTTGACGATATGGAAAAAACTGCTTGCAGGTCCAGCAACTTATGGATCGTTTCGAGCGTGATTTCGAGAATCTTGATGTACATACAGCAACTATGGAGCGCACGATGGATGGTACAACCGTCCTGAATGCTCCGAAATCTCAAGTTGATGCTCTCATAGCTGAGGCAGCTGACAAGGCAGGGTGAGTTCTCCAACTCATTTGTTTTGTTCACTCATAGACCTTCCATATTTTCCATTTGATACCTAGCTTATGCTGCCGTTTTCCAGTATCGAACTCAACGCTTCGTTGCCATCGAACGTGCCATCCTCTGTGCCAACCGCTGCGGCATCTGTTGCTGATGATTCGGACCTTACACAGCGTCTTGCAGCTCTTCGTAACATGTAAAAAGCTTGAAAATTTCTTGATTGATGTCTTATACTTTCTCTAATTTTCTGGTTCATACCGTGTTTGAGGTATTTTATCGGAAATCCGAGTGATTATGCCATGCTTTCTTGTTATGAAATTCTAGGAGGACATTAAACATTTTTTGTTTCTCTCTTCTTCGATGTGTAGCAAACCAATCAACGTTCTCGCTAGTAAGACATTTTTACATTCTGATAGTGCTACCAGTTTTATAAATCCGAGTTTTTGATCCATTCAGGTGTATTGGAGCACCGTTTTCAGTCTTGATTACTCTCTTTTCATAGAGGGGTTGGGATTTTTCGCCAATGTATATATGACTTCCTCGTTCGTCTATACGAATTCCTAGTGAGCTCTTTTCACGATGAGGTGATATGTATGTAACCGTACTCTACTTGCAGTAACTAAACGTAGTTACCTCGAATGTGTTGATGATTAATGCTATGACCTTTCCAGCTTTATGATTCAGTCACTTGATTCTGGTAGTTTTCTTGAAACTCTGGTAGTCCTATCGTTTCAAATATAATCCAACATTTTCATTGTCAGAAACGACTGTATAATGGAAAGGGGATGTGGTATCAGGATAAAATCATTCACTATTACTAGTTTTTGAGCACTAGTGATTGCATCTTCAGAGAACGCCACCCATAACCACCCATTTAAACCTGGGTTTAGGTTGACCCCTTTTTTCAGATGAACCCACGTTTATCATTCTTCTGGAGTCGTCATCGATCAAGTGATTTGAAGGGTTAAAAATCAGTCGCAAGTTTCAAACGTTAGATTTTTTGAGTGGTGACTGAAAAATAATTTGTAATTCAGAGAAAAAAAGGTGTAAGAATGGATTAGTGGGTTGAGATGTCAATACGGTAGGGTGCGGATTTTTTTCTTTGCGATATCCACACTTCAGCTTTTCATGCTTTCTGGGAAGTCTTGGAGGAATGAAGAATTTTGCTGATTAGATGAGAGTATGAATGCCAATGAGCTACTCAAATAATAAAGAAAGTTTGAAATATCCCCATGAGAAATGAGTGACAGGCAAGAATTCAATAGGCAAGATCTGAACCTGTTGAAGGGTGATGATTGATAGCTATTCTAGAGAGATCTTGAGGAAAGAGTGGTGGATAAGCAGTGGACTTTGTGGTGTCGTGGTAGCACACGCCCCGTCCCGATATAGCTGAAACGCGGGTTCAACTCCCCCTGTCGACGGATTTTTGCCTAACGCTCAACTCTCTTAGGGACAATGGAAACATTTTAGACCTGCGGAAAAGCAGCGAAAACACACGAATCGCTCAATTTACATGAAGGGAGTTTTTCAATATCAATTACAAGGATAATAAGGTATGAGCAAAGCTCGGAACCGAAGCCAATGGGCTTCGAACCCGCGACTGCCGTTTCCAAGGGCTCACTGTTCTCCGTACACCACCCAGTACCCTTGCTTTGCCGTTCTCTCGGACAGCCATGTTGTTACTCTGTCGGTCTCTCATCAGTAATCATCATTGATGTCTCATAAATCAGCTTTTATCAAACCTCTCTTGAATTAATCAGCAATAATCAGTCGGAAATCATCTTATTTGACCGCCGATTGCGGTGTCATGATGTTTCTATAAACCCAATGATGTAGAGTGATGTGCAAAAATGTCTGCGTCAGCCGGGATTCGAACCCAGATCTTACTCTTTCCGAGAGAATGTGCTAACCGTTGCACCACCGACGCTCGTTTTGCATAATCAGCAATTTTCCACATGATTTAACCTATAGGAGCTTGGTATCGAGACGGCTAACGGCTTCATTCGGCTGACATCTTGATGTCATTTCTTTTTGGGAGACAAAAAAAAGAAATTGATTACCTTCTAGGTGAAATCACTTAGATTTCGACTACTACTTCTCAGTTCAATTCGCTTCAATGTCGATTTATGCTAGTACGTGAGCCTCGAAAGAGTAGGTTGCAGGTTCGAAGTCCGCCTGGGATTCCGAGTGTTTCGCTCATGTCTCAGGATTCCTCTGGCTGGACTCCACAGCATCGTCGTACCCCCGCTGGGGGAAACGAATACGGATCGCACAGCAGATAAAGGCTATGAATTTTTATCAATACTCGGGACTCCTCATGATTCAGTTGTTCTCTTCGTGGTTTATGATCTATCAAATAGCCCCAGGAGAACTGAGCTGTGATCAAAAATCCGACCTCAGCCGAGAGTTGAACCCGCGTTTCACCTCTTCCAAGGGGGGCGTACAACCTCTACACCACCGAGGCCACCGCTTACTCATCACTCATTCTTCAGTATGACGATGTGAATATCGATAGCTATGATGGTGAGATTGTGAAGGATGAGTGTTGAGTATGCGATGGCCTCGGTGGTGTGGTGGTAGCACGCGCTCCAGATATCGGTGAGGCGCGAGTTCAACTCCGGACTGAGGTCGGAATTTTGCGAACGACTCAACTCCCTAAGGCATGTTTGCAACATTCTATTTATATCATTTAGATCTCAAAGTTGATCATGTCAGTGAGAAATCATCAGTACGAAGGAGAAAATCACTCCGGAACTCGATTTAAAACTTGAAATTAACAAGAATTTTTCTATTTAATCGCTCTGTTAGGACTGCTATGATGATCTAACTACCAGTCGAGAAATGCTGAGTGATGTACAAAACTTGGGGCTTGGGCGCGAGTTGAACCCGCGTCTTTCCGACACCGAAGGGCGCGCGGGCTAACCACTACACCATCAAGACCATCGCGGGCTCGACGGCTAGTCACAACTACTATTATCGACTGATTGAAGGGGGGAGGGGTTAGGAATAGTACTGACCTCATGACGTCCGTAATTTACCGTCCGTAGGGGGCACGCGAATGGGAGATGGCCCGTAGGTTGTTTACTTGTTTACTTTTTGTTGACTTCGTTGTTGCTTTATTGACTTGTTTTGTTTTGGTGATTCACGTGAATAGAATAGGTATCGATCGGCAGTCATTAAGGAAGAAAACACCCCAACCACATCTGGGGAAAAAAAGGCGAAGAACGGCGATGTTTTCCTCTAGTTTTTTTCGGTAGATAGAAATTTTTAGAAATGTTGGGAATTCTGGTAGGTAGTATCTGTAAACGATTTCGATGGTCCCAACAGACGACGTCTGATGTCCCCCTAGGAGTGCTTCCCGATGTTAGCTTAAAGTCTTGTCGTGTACTTTGATCCCAGGCTGATTGCCGACCCAGTCGATCGATAGCTATCACGCTACTGATATTCATTCTTTTATCGTCTCTCCTATTGTCATTAATTTCAGTAAAAAAGGTATTCTTTTGTGTCTTTGTAGAAAACAATGAAATAATCGTTGAAAATTATGATTGCGAAGGTCGCCCTCTTATAGCATGATGGTGGTAAAACGGGTGCAGAAAGTGCAACGAGTTAGAGCACGCGCTTGCTCGGATAAAGTGAGATGCGGGTTCGAGTCCCGGCTGATGCAAAATTTTTGCTTCTTACTCTACATTACTGTGTCTTTCTCTCATTCGATTCATATGATTATAAGGTTTCAAATCTCTAAAGAATCGATTGTACTGTTACATATCTGAAGATCTAGAAATATTAAGAAGGTGAATCGTTATGGAAAGAGTAAAATGTGATTTCCCATAGAGTCATCGAGCTTTCCTCCTTTCCTCCATTCCTCCGTTCCTCCTTTCTTCCTTTCCTCCTTTCTTCCTTTCCTACTTTCTTCCTTTCCTCCTGTCTCCTCTTATGATCCACAATCGAGGAAAATTTCTAGCAAACGTTCAGAATTTCAGTGCTCGTCAACATCGATATGAGGATTTTAGTCGGAGTGAAACGAGTAATCGATTATGCTGTGAAGGTAACGCATCAGATACTTATCGATCGGAAATTTGGATATTTTCTTTTTCTTTGTTTTTGTTCTTGCAGTATGCTGTTTTCTCCTATTAACTTGAGTAAGAGCGCATGTGGCGCAGTGGTAAGAGGTCTGCGTCGCGCACAAGGTCGATGGTTCGATCTCGTGCTCCGGCTCACCAAGCCATCCATCCCTCCGGGGTCGGTAAATTGGCTCCAGACAGGTCTCAGACTTGTCTAGGAGGATAAGTGGCACTGACTCGTTACGGCGGGAGACCACCGCGAGTCATTGTAAAGACCAAATATGCATTCAATCACCTCAAACGAAGCTGAAAATTGAAGGCAAATGCATGGCGCATCCCTCAGGAATTGATCAACGCCGGGAGTATTTGATTTTTTCTGACTTGAGTAGAATTTGTTCTCCACCATATAGCATGGATTTATGAGGTAGAGTAATCTACAATGAGAACTGCTATCGATCGGCAGACATCCTCTGTACTCGTGGCCCTTTAAAATTCAGGAATATAGGAAATATATGGGCTCTAGGATATAGGTAAAGGAGAAGAATTCGTGGGAAAGCGCGATAGATTTGGGACTGGCTGGAGGCGACTTCGTGGTGGATCGAAGAGGAGGAGAGGAGAGGGGAGGGTCCTACTTCAAGATGATTAAATTGTTCTGTCAACCAGAACCGCTGACGCTCTCCGTTTCATCTGTGTCCTCTTGCACTTTCGTAGATGAAACAGAACAGAACAGGACATTTCCCTTGATGAGACAAAATTTCTTATGGAAACGAGCATTTTCTCATGGGATTTTTTTGGCTCCGAAGAAGACGGAAACATCAGAAACATTGGCCGAATAAATTCGATTCATCATTCCGTGATATTAGCTAGATTATTACAGAAATGAATGATATTTCGTAGAAGTATTGATACTATTCGGTCATGAGGGGTTACATGAGAAATCGACCTCATTTGCTGGTGAGGAACTTTTCATAGGATTGTTAGTGACCATTCGAAAGCTGAGATCTCTGGCTGCAGCTCCACGTCACCGGATTTTGAAAAACCTTTTCTTCTAAACCTTGTTACAAATGGAAATTCCTTACGTTTCAGACGCGCATATTTCTCGCCGCACACCAGCTCTTTTTTTTGGACTGTTAGTAATCATATCTTTCGTTTCGAGTGTTTTCTTAGGACCACAGCTCCAATTTCAATATGCCTGGTAATTATTCTTTGAGCCACGCATGTCAGTGGTCTGTCAAAGAGGGCTGACTCTATAGAGCCCGATACACGTGTTTCGATCTTGCGATCTCGTCAGTCAGGCAGTTACCCTTTCTCGTCTTTTGCCAATCCTGCCTAGCTGATGAGATCGCAAGATCGAAATACGTGTATCGGGCTATATAAGCCAGCCCTCTTTGACAGACCGCCGGCATGCGTGGCTCAAAAAATAATTACCAAGCATGTAGTAATCATTCGATAATGTAAGCGATCTCTTCAGGACATAAGCGCAGTGTTGGAATCAGCAAACATTATTTGTTCTGACAAACCGGCCACGTGGGGCTGTGGCCATAAATCTCAACTTTACAATGGTTGTTAACCCTCCTATTAAAAGCTCCTTTCCAGCGAATTAGATCGGTTTTTCATCTGTCTCCTTATAACCGAAAACTGCCGTAGTGATCATCGAACAGTCATGATGAGCTATCCGAATAAGTGTAAGTGATATTGATGCTCAAGATTTCTTATGTTTTTACTGCTTTTTCGCAGTGTTATAAGGTTTCAAATGTCCCTCAGAGAATTGATTGGTAAGCAAAAATTCGAATTCAGGCGGGAGTTGAACCCGCATTTTTACCCATACCGGGAGCACGCACTGATATGGGCGAAGCGCGGGTTCAACTCGCGTCTGAGGTCGAATTTTTGCCTACTATTCAATTCTTGTAGGTATACTTGGAACATCATAACGCTGGCAAAAAAGCAGTAAAATCTCAGAATTCTTGGATTTATGTAAGTACAATGACTGTCAGTTTAACTGAGTTTAGAGAGCGATGTTGTTTACCCGCCCAAATCTGTTAGAGGTTGGTGGCTGGCAGCTCTGATAGGGAGATTCTGAAGAATGAGTGTGTGGGTAAACGGTGGCCTCGGTGGGTTAGCGGTAGAACGCGTCCTCGGTGTGGATGAAACACGGGTTCAATCCTGTCTGAGGCCGAATTTTTTGCCTACCTCAACAGTCTCTTAGGTATACCTGAAACATTGTAACACTGAGATAAAAGCGTCAAAACATGAGAACTTTTGGATTCTTGTGTTGCTTAGTTCTTATTTTGATTAATGTTCATTTTAGCATAGAGGGCTTAGAAATATTCAATGTTACCGTTATGATTAGAACTTCTTTGAATCAAATTTCTGCCTTATAGGTTCGAGTGAAACCGGATAAAACCGGTGTGATCACAGAAATGTTCAACATAGCATGAATCCCTTCGACGAAATCGCTCTTGAAGAAGCCGTCAAACTGAAGGAGAAGAAATTGGCAAACGAGGTTAGCCATTCGAGATGGGATAATTATTTCGTTATGCAGACCTTTAGGGAAAGTTCTCTAGGTGGTGGCCGTTTCACTAGGCGGACCCAAGTGTCAAGAAGTGCTTCGGAATGCTTTGGCTAAAGGAGCTGATAAAGCCATTCATATAGAGGTGCTTGTGTAGTTTTGAGCTTTTGCAGATTTGTCTTCGTGTCTGAAAATCTAATGGATATTTCGACTAGGTTTCTGATGCTGAGTACCCGAAGATCGAACCGTTACATGTGGCAAAAGCTTTGCAAAAGGTTGTCGAGAAGGAGAAATTCGATCTAGTGTTTTTGGGAAAGCAGGTGGGTACCAATCGTTGTTTTAGAGTAGATAGACTACGACTTTTTTTGTGGCATTAGCTCCGTTCAACGTATATATTGAGGCAATAGACGATGATGCATCTCAAACAGCACCTCTTCTTGCTGGATTGTTAGACTGGCCTCAAGCTCTATACGCCAGCAAGGTATGAAATTCCTATAGTCATCCTTAATCCTACTCAATTTCGGGTTTGAAAATCTGAGTTTAACTTTCTGTTCGGTTCAGGAATGTTGAGCACTATAGAGTACTCTGAACTGCAGAAAGGAGCTAAAGACGCGCTTCTTCCTTTCCAAAGGTGCTTGCTAATTCTTCATGACCGGGGCTCCTGTTCTGCTATCACTCTGCGATATTCAGATGAATATTTAGTGCTTCGGATTATTATTAAGCTTGCACAAGTTGGTCGAGAATTCTGGTTATTGCTAACGTTTGGAATCGCTTTCTTTGAAGTAGTTTGATTCGACTGCTCTCAGGAATTATTCCATCATCCTCCTGCGAGATCAGAGTTCATAGTCGTCGCATCAAGCCGAGTCGAGTAGAGTGGTAGAGAAGAGTATCGCA